TCCTAGATCACCTGATCAATGACAGACAGCAGCCAACGCCAGCCAAACCCACTCTAAACTTTGGGGCACAAACGGCACATGACAATGATGTACATGCAATGGTGTACAAAATAAACCTACAAGACTGAAACAGGGAATCAGAGATATCAATTTATAATAAGGTCAACTACAAAGCAAAAAGAAGGAACAGTGTAGATACAAAACTTCTAAATGGCAAAGAAGTCAAGTAGATTTCAAAATAATAGACTGTTAATAATAAATTACCAGGTAACCTGTAATTTGCCCTGAAAAGTAATGCATCTGCACGTCAAAATTAAACATTAAAAAAACAGGAAAATTAGAAAGAATTAGTAAAAACTAAAAAAATTAATCCTTGGAGGCCAGGATGGCCAAACTTCATCTCTCATACTTCGGACATATTGTCAGAAGGGACCAGTCACTGGAGAAGGATATCATCTTTGGTAAGGTGGAGGATCAGAGAAAAAGAGGAAGACCCCCCAGAGAGATGGATTGGCAAAGTGGCAGCATCAATGGGCTCAAGAGTGGCAACAATTGTTGAGACTGGCCCAGGATCGGGCAGTGATTCGTTCTGCTGTGCATAGGGTTGCTATGAGTCGGTTGCTATAACTCAATGGCACCTAAAAACAACAACAACAACAACAACCAGAAACTAAAATGAAAAGAAAATCCACAAACATAATAAACTCAACACAGAAAATTACGTGGATCAAAGAACCCAAAAGCCCCACAAAAAAACCACACACAACAAAATGGCAGCAATCAATTCATACCTATTGACAATTACACTGAATGTAAATGTACTAGTCAAGAGACAGAGCAGAATGAATAAGAAAACAGTATCCTTTAATATGCAGTCTACAAGAGACACATCACAAAGATGGAGACAGCCTAAATGTCTATCAACTGAAGACTGGTCAAACAAACATTGGTACATACACTCAATGCAAAACTATAAAACAATGAAGAATAATGATGAATCTGTGAAACACCTCTCAACATTGATGAACCTGGAGGACATTATACTGAGTGAAATTAGTCAATCACAAAAGGACAAATATTGTTGTGACCACTGTGCTCAAAAGTTAAGAAAAGATTTTCTTAATGAAAACAATCTATTATGGTTGCAGCAGGGAGAGGAGAGGGAAAATTATTCACAGGAGGAGTCCTGATGTGGCGCTGTGGGTTAAATCACTGGATGCAAGGTCGGTTTGAAACACAGGGTTGGCAGTTCAAGCTCACCAGCCACTCCTCAGAAACCCTATATACAGTTGCTATAAGTTGGAATCAACTTGGTGGCACTTAACAACAACAATAACAGCAAGTTGTCATTGTCAGGTGCCATCGAGTCGGAACTGACTCATAGCGACCCCATGAGCAGCAGAACGAAACAATGCTGCCACATTTGACACCATCACTACCGCTACCACACTTGACACCATCAATGATGCCACCTGGCTGATCCATCTCATTGGGGGTCTTTCTCTCTTTCTCTGACCCTCCATCTTACCCAGCATGACATCCTTCTCCAGTGACTGGTCCCTCCTGACAA